TACCTCTAATTCGTTTGATGATATAGGTGAGAATGTCAAATATTTACTGGAGACAGAGACCAAGGTAAGTACTTCATTCGCATCTCTACCTGAAAATAAGCTCCCATCCACATCTTTAGAAAATTTTTCAAAAACCAAGATACAGGTAAGTGCACCCGATAGTTCTTTAAATTTTATCTTGGAACCTTCTGATCATGAAAATTCTTGTGATGAGGGTGTCGATAATGATGAATTCTCCAACGATAACGACGAAGAGGAAGATGATGATGGGTTCTGTGGATTTTCTGATGATGATGATGAAGGTTATTATTGTGATTTCAATACTGGTGAAACTTATACAAAATCAGATCGTCGTTATTAATTAGCGCATATTAATAGGATAAAACCTCATTTATGGAATAGCTGGAAGCTAGCACATCCGTGTTAAAGATGATCCGCATCCAAGATTTTTATATCTTTAGTTTTACTAAAGGCTCCGCTATTGATTTTCAGCACATGTATTCGTGTAACCTAATTTTTACCACTTAGACTAGAAATACGTTTTAATGTTAAATATTTTTTGTTGATGATGAATTTCACTAAGAATAAACATTTTGGTCATAATGTTCATAAAAATACCGACTTATTTTTAAACTTCATAATCATTTGTGGGTCAATGCGTTAATCCCCTAAGCGATCCACTCATTCTTAGTCTGTAAAATGATTTACATGATTATCTTCGATTACGCATGCAACGTCAAAACTAAAGAATGAATACTATTAATAATCAAGGAAATGGTATTAATACCCGATTAAGTTTTCTATCAAATTAAAAGATCATTCTGGCATCTTCTCCACCTTTACGTGAAATAAATGATGATCGAAACATAACTCTATAAAAGGTGTGCCTGTCCTTACAAATAATAAAGCATCACAGTAAAATTAATCTTTTTCAAAAGCGAATCCATCAAGCTTAGCCACTAAATATCTACACACCCACGATTATTATTCTAATCGAATTTTCTTCGCACCATTTAGCATTTCAGAAAATATGCCTTTTATGATTGTAACTGTTTCCCGAAAATATCCATTTATGTGTGGGGTTCATCGCCATATGGTTCTTTTTGTATAATGTCAGACAGACAAAAAAATCGTCGATGAAACAAACTCTCGTGAAACCAATATAAACACTACTATCGCTGAACAAATCGGCAAGATCAAAGCCGAAATTAATAACGATCTTACCACAAAAATGATTCCCGTGACACTAACTATGCAACGGAGGCACAGAATATTATTAACGAAAATATAACGAAATCGAGCGAGTTCTAGAAACCTACCATAATAATTTTAGTCAAATTGCAACTGATTTCGAATCGGTCGACAGGATAAACACAACGCTCCAGAGCGAAATCAATCAACGACACTCCCTTGTTCAGATTGTTTATCTGACAGGTGTCATCATATTCTGCTTGTTCATCATCTTCCACTGATTCACTGTTTTCTGCTCATCCATTATCTTTCGCTTATTGATCAGATTCTTCAGATTCAAGTCAAAGATTCGCATATATCATCTCTGTAGTCTGGGAATTGTTTTCAGGTGTCTTTGATAGGGTGCGAATGATTATACTTTAGATCAGATGTGTAATATTGTATCGACTGATATTCTTAGGTTTGGGATGGGAGTAATTGGAAAAGATGCAATAAAGGCGTTTTACCATGGGGAAAATATAAAAAGCGAAAACTTAGAAAAGATAGGTGATTGGATAGATAACAGACATTTACACCTTTGAGTAGCGGGAAAGGAACTGCCATTATATGGGTTAGAACAGGACTTTCATTTTTAAATTTTTGTGCATACAATCAATTTATTGCACGTGATCGTAAATTATAGAAATGATTTTTTTTTGTGGTTTATACTCCCAAAACGTCTATTTTTCATTCCGAACTCTAACATGTCTACATCAAAATCTATGAGCGAGTCATCACAAATGCAAGAAATAATAGAAGAGTTCTTCAAAAGTAATTCGACTTGGTCATTATTAAAGTTCTTACAATACAGGCAAACACGGTACGGTTTTCTAAATAATAGTATAGAGGAACATAGAAACTATAAAAAAGCATTAGAAATACTATCTGCTCATGAGGATTATGCAGAAGAAGCAAGAAATTGTTTGGCCACTTTAGAAGTTAAGTATAAACAATTGAGATTGGGCAATTTCATGTGTTCAAGGACTAGAACGCGTTCCGGTCCCGAGACAATAACGTGACGTGTTGACAACCCCCGAGTAACTGGCTGACTACGCCTTGGCCAGTGATAGTGGACTACGTCTTCCCTCGGTGTCCTTGAACTAAGAGCTAGAACACGTTCCGGTCCCGAGACAATAACGTGACGTGTTGACAACCCCCGAGTAGCTGGCTGACTACGCCTTGGCCAGTGATAGTGGACTACGTCTTCCCTCGGTTGCTCTTACATGTTATTGCCATAATGTTTAGTCCTTTAATAACACAGAGGTTTTGAGATTAAATTATTTTATGCTAATGGCCGTTTTCTCCCTAGCAGAATGAGAAAACTTCTTTGGCTGTCGATGAATTTTGGAGGATGATTGATAAAAAACGATACCATGACGAAATCGAACTTGAAGAGGTTTGTAATTATCATCTACAAATATTTTCATATTTCACAAGGGACAAACTTTTATCGCATTAAATAGCTGGAGTATACAAAACGTGCATTAAAAGAAACGAACAACGAAACACACTGCATACGTGCTATAACAACCAATAAAACGATTAGAAGGCTAAGACATGGATCAGGAGATCAAGCCGAGGAATCTGGAAGCCAAGATCCAGAAGAGGTACAGATAGAAGTTGTAAAGAATAGAACGCTGGCTTTATTTTAACTCTTTCTTTTGTGTTTAGTCCGATGATGACTTCCAACCGGCAACTACTCGACAAAAGCCGAAAAAACAGCCCCCGCTTTCAAAAAAGGTTAGGAGTTGTTTTGGCACAAAAATGGTGTCTTGAATGTTAAAGTGAGCTTTTTTATAATTACTTATCACGGAATTTTTTATTAATTTTTCTACTACCTGTCATATATAAACAGGTCAAACCCACCAACAGGAATGATCAAGCCGAAAGATCTACGAGTTCTGATCTTTCAAAATCACATCTAAAGGCTAGACCTAGCGAAGTTAGTAGTCCAGAGTATAATAGACCAAATACTCCGCCTCATCAAATTGTTAGGAATACATACAACCAAGAAATTTCGATCAATGAAAATATTTTAATAATGTCTGCTGAAAACTTAGCGAGTCTAGATGAATCTAAGGTATTTGATGTTATTTTAACTAATTTTTTTTGTGCATATCGTAAATACTCAATCAATCGTTTCTTGAGCAGTATCTCGGCGAATTTATTCCTCTTTTTGTAAAATATAAAGAATCAGAAAAAAATAATGCATTTTCGTGAGTATTTGAACTGCTATAAATGTATCTTATAATATTATATTTAATATCTTCTCATTTATAGTTATGCTAACGACGACGTAATGGATATTCGAGGGGAAAGTGGTTTTGCGAGATTTTTGTCGATCGATCAATTTATAAAATTACTATCAAAAAAACCAAACAGAAAAGTTAAATTACCGGAAGTCTGGCGTAGTATTATTGATGAATATTTTAAGGTAATATAGAATCCTATAGTTTGTGTTTATTATTCACAAGAATTATTTGTTGATCGATCATATTATTTTACAGGGGACAACTGAGAATGGGTCAAAAAAAAGTGTATCCGATTGGATCCTTGTTACAAAGGAGTTGAATATTATAAAAAAGGATGATACTGAGGAGATGAAAAAACTTAAGGATTATTTAAACCGAGTTATGCTTCCATTGTAAGTATTGGTCGGGGTGTTTTATAATTATCGCCTATTATAACTAATACTTTATTGTAGAATTGAGTCATTCGCAAAACCTATTCCCGATGTTAATGCATCTGATATTAATGAACACCATTACTGGGCTGAATTTGGTCATCGTTTCTTTTCAAGAGCATTACAAGAATTTGTAGATCTTGATTGGAGGGTGTAAGTATTTGTTGTTTTCAAATTATACTACGATCAGCTCCATAGTAGAACTTCCAGCACAATTTTTTTTTTTTATTTTTAGCATGGAAGCCCCTGTACTGGCTTCGAAATATAGAAAAAATTATGGACATGATCATGCTATAGACAAAGTAGTGGATGGAAAAAATGCGGATTTGCTGGCAAGGATATGGGGAACTGGTGAAGAAATCTTTGTCGGGGAACAAGCTGGGCCACCTAATAAACCTGACCTCACAAAGTTAGCAACGGATTCATTCAAGTTGTATCGAGAAATGCGGGATTGTCTAAATGTTAGGATCTTACGAGCTATGGGAAAAGGTGATGTAAATTACAATGACCGTATGGTCTTTGGAATACTTGGTTATCTTTATGAAATCAAAATGCTTATAATGTGGAAAGATGGAGTATATGTATATGAGGAATTTGGAAGTTTAAACATTGCTTCTATTCCGGATCACATTCCTATGATGAAAGCAGATATGTTAAAATTGCTAGAATTTATGGTAAGCTTCATTTTTATAAACATCCTTAGTCGCGTATTATGAACTAATTCTGTTATAGATGATCATTAAAACAGAAGTGGAAAATACTGTGACAACAGAATATAATAGTGATACGATACAGATTTTGAAGAGAAAATTTAATGAACTAATCCAAACAAAGGTATCACCATCAAAGGTTCCAAAGGTTAAGAGGTGTAGTGGATAAAACAATTATATTCCTGTTTCGGCTTCGTATGACTTTTAATATCAAGTGATTTTAATGTATATCAAGCTTTATATGCTATATAATAAACCAATCAGATAAAATTTCTTTCCGCTCACATTGGGCTTTAACTTTTTAATGTGCATGCATTGTGTGGGTTGTGTAATGAGTGTGCAACTGTATCAGAAAAGTAAAAAAAAATACATATATTCCAATTCGTATAAATACTATGTTTTTGATTCGCCTATAGTAATTGGCGCGTGGTTTTTTTATATACAGTATACGAAAAATTATACAGTATGTGAGAAGGAAGGATCAAACCCTATTTATCTAATTTTTTTAATGGGGTATCCCAACCGAGTCTAACCGCTAGATGATCGTCTACTGGCTTAGTAAAATCGAAAACTGTAAATTCTCATTCACTTTTTTTTATCAATAATTTTAGATGCCTTTTTTGGATCATCTGTATATTGACCCCGAAATAAGCATAAATGTGAGATATTTTCACGAATTATTTTAGGTGTTTGCGTATATTTCTGGCTTACATATATACAGTAGGTGAGACATTTTGATGCGGCCACTAATGAAATAAGGAATAATTTGTTCTTGCACTTTTTTGGGTTCGGCACATAGATCCTCAAAAACAATAACCGTACTTCGTTCTGGAGAGAATTTAGTTATATTTGGGATCTTATCTGGCAATATCCATTTAAATGTAACATCTTCTCAATATGGTTTTGGAGCATTTGCAAAGACTTGATAGCTATTTTGTACAAGTTGCCATTTTGGTTCAAAATGTCTGGCTACTAATCTGAGATCATCATTTCTAATATACTGATCAACTTTTTTTCCATTGAACATGTATTGTATTTTGTTATCAAGCATGAAATTTTTTTTCATTTTAGTTTTTCCACTATTTGATTCTATTTATAAGTATCCTAAATGGATAGTCTGGTGAATACTTATTACTCTTCATTCATTCTGATGATTTTTTAGTTTTTTTTTTTTTTTTATTACCCTAGGTCAGGCTAGGTATGTGTGCTTTATTAAACATTTGTATACTGTACATTTTAAATGATTTGCTAAAGCTAAGACTTTACTTAATTCACTTGTCACTATTTTGTCTTAATATACCAAAACTCTAAGTGCAACTTTGGGAGTGATTTATTGCTTCATTAATGGTTCAGGTGAATACTTTTTCAACCTTTAATATCATTGTCTGCAGATCACTACTGCAGATTCTGATGATTTTTTAGATATCTCATTGATATTATTTATATATATACAATAAATATACTTTTATCTTTCATTCCAAATAAACTAATTTATTATATTAAATAAACTAGAGAAGTATTTAAAGTCTTACTTTTATTCTATAAAATTCAGTTCTTGAAGAATATTATATAATAAATATAAAATAACTGAACTTCATAAACAACTTTTCAAATTTATAGATTTCAAATCCAATAAGATTTATTTTTCAGAAATAGAGAGAGATTAACAATTATTTTGAAAACTTATTACAGATAAAAAAATAACAATCAATATTGTGTTAGATGATTTCATTTCTTGATTTGTATCAGATATAATAATAAAGGAGATCAATTAATATATATCAGGTAATTAATATATATAATGCAAAAATAATATAAAAAGTTTTGGTAAATATCTTTTATAATATTACTAATAAAATTATAATATGTTTTCAATATAAATTCAAAGACATTCTATTAGTACCAATCATAAGATATCTAAATATCTCATTGTAATTGGATTCAAAATATGATATTATTATTATTATTATTATTTTTTTTTTAACCCTAGGTCAGGCTAGGTATGTATGCTTTATTAAACATTTGTATATTATACATTTTAAATAATTCATTAAAGCTAAGACTTTATCTAACTCACTCATCACCATTTTGTTTTAATATACCAAAACTCTAAGTGCAACTTCGGGAGTGATTTATCGCTTCATTAATGGTTCAGGTGAATACTCTTCCAACCTTTAACATCATTGCCCACAGATTACCACTGCAGATTACTATCCATTGTTCTGACCAAGCTTAAAACCTAACCACTTCATTCCATAAGTAGCACCTTTGAGTAAAATTTTTTTCAGGCTTTCATTTTCTTGAGTTCCTTTCTCTGATAGAGGATCTTTACTTTTGCGGGCTAATAGTTTTAAGCTGTGTGTGCCTGAGGGTCAGTTGATTTTATTTACTCTACAAATCCCCTGTGAATATTCCCATTCAATTA